CATAACCACGAAAGTCGCTGAAAAGTGAACTGGAAATTTTTATCTGCAGATTATGCGTTTTCGAGAGCTGCTGTTCTCTCATGCGCTAGGAAATCGATTCCAAACAAAAATGCACGATGCACAGGAAAGAGGGCAGACGTAAAACATCATACCATGAGCATTTTGAGGCGAATGCACAGGACACCGCATTACCCCACACTAGCTCTGCCTGCCCAAGGGTTGTGCTTAATCGCATGTCTGTCCCTTACATCCGGGCGAAGTTTGCACTATGCTCCAACTACTGCGGCTGTCTCCATCAGCATCCAGTACGCTGGACATTGTGCCAGTATGCACACTGAGCAGTAATTGGACAGATTGGTGCAATGTGTGAACAAGGCTGCCACAAATCGGTGCTGCTGATAAATGGTCTATAGTGTTTCACGTGTTGTTATTTCCTGCAGTGCATTTTGGTGTAAAGTTTGCTCACAGTGAAACAATGCAGCCAGCGCAGTCAGCCCCTTCGTACTGCAGGGCAGTCTTGAAGCAGTCTTGTACCTTGCAGAATGTAACAATGGCCACTGTTTTGTGTTTTGAATGAAATGGTGTCCAAACACGCAAGTTGTGCCACATCACCACTCAGCGCATTGAAAGCTCCATCTTTATCAGCCCCACGTTCGAATCCCCTGGCTAGTCCGCATTGCAAAGAGGCTCGCATACACTTGCTTAGGAGGGGCGGTTCTTTCTCTTTTGCAACAAGCCTTGCCCTCGCCAGTGAGGACTGGCATCCACCAAGAGACAGTTTGGATGTGCAAGCAATAGAGAATATCCATCCGCATGGCCAACAACCACATTCGCCAGAGATCCAGCAGTAACCTAATAACAGCACTCCCACATGAGCAGTGCTCATTGAGCACTGGGCAACGCTGTGCGCAGGGGCACATTTCCCAGTAAACACGCATAAAATATGGGGATTTGGTTGACTATTGCATGCCCAACAGAACTGAGGAGTCTGTAGTTATGGGAAAGCCACTCCCAACAGAGAGGAAGGCCAAGATCAATGTCATCACGTTGTTGAAATCCGGTTTGATTACATTAACCGAGCTCCGCGGCAGCTGAGGCCATGTGGAGCCCAATGTCATCACGTGAAAGGCGTCCTCTCAAAGTCAAGGAAATTCAGCTGTTGGCACATGCCATGAGGGTGCTTGTTCGTGAGTCAACAATCTGCCACCATGAAATGAAACATAGACTCAACGGCAACTCGAGAAGGAAATAGGGCAAATGGGTGTTGCCCAGCCAATTTTCGACAAACTTAGCCAAAGTGGATTTTGAACAGAAGAGGAGCAGAAGTACTGCACCACATTCTCTTGCATGGAGATATCTCACAGTCAGGCTTGGTTTTTACGTTTACGTTTACGTTTTTACTGTTACGTTTGTACGCGTAAGAACGTAAATTTGCAAAAGGGCCTATTTTTGCGGCTATATTTACGTTTTTACGGCTCCCTGGGACACCCAGATTATACGATGAAAGTTGCGTACAATGATCAGTCATCCGCCAACTGCAGCACCCACAACACAATGTCCACCTCGGCCTTGGCAAGGGCGATGATGGTGGTTAACAAAAACTCGTTTTCTGCCCCTTCCAGGGCGCCTAGCTGCCACTCCCCGGACTCCGTAAGTCTATATGTACTGTCCTTGTGTACACCGGACAGTTTTCACGTTGTATTTACGTATTTTTACGCATTTTTACGCGTAAAAGCGTAAAAACTATTTTTACACGTAAAAACGTAAATACGATCAGTTTTTACGGCGTAAAAACCAAGCCTGCTCACAGCGAAACACAAGAACAGTTCTTGTTTGGGGTTGTTGGGTTGGGGCGTTGTGCAGCCCTTATTCTTTTTCGTTGAAAAGAAGCTCAGGGAAGATATCCCAGTGGCTGAGAACTTCATTTCGACACGCTTTCGAGGGCTGCGGCTTTGTATTTTATGTAATGGAAAGAGTACCTTCAGCTCCGGAGGGTGTGTGTGCCAATTTGTGATAAATTTCCACGTCTTTGCCAAAATGTAATTTCCCTGCACAGCTCCAGGCAAGGGCATCCATTTTCACGTGATTTCCAGCAAAGCTTACTACCCACCTGTACACACTCCAGTACTTTCAGCGTCAGCTCTCCCCGCGCGCTCGCCGTGCGCACGAGCAAGCTGTGGAGAAGTCATGTGAACGCCTGTGCCGTGTTGTACATGTGAGCAAGCTCTCCAATCAGGGCTGTGCCCAATGTCATACCCTGCCTCATTCCGCTCTACTCGCTTTGGACGGCGCCGACCCACATCGTCTCACCAAAGATTGCCGCCAGCTCAGCCTGTCGATGTCCATCACAATATTGTCCATGCTCCTGCTGCCCGGTCTCAAAGCTCGACACAACTCCACGCCAAACAACACCCCAACAGCCCAGTTTCGCCACCAGCAGGAGCGCGCCAACTTTCCTTCCATCGGGTATGAGGATTATCGAAGGCAGTCGTGCACATTGAGTCCGGCAGCTGGGCTGTGCGCAACAAAGCGCCCGATGCAACAGAGGAAAAGTCGGCCATTGCGTGGCGCAAGCAGTCGCTGGCTGGAACAAGCGCAGTATCGCCGCCATCCCATCCACACATCCTTCAGCGGAGATTCGATCGGCGCGGCCCACACTGCCGGAGCGCTGGAGCCCGACGCCAGCGCAAAGCAGCGGCGGGAGAAGGCCTCGCCCGAAACTTGGGGCAATGGGCTGCAACGGGGGTCAGAGGAGAGCTCGCTCACCTTGCTGGTGCTTCAACGCCTGCCGGCAGCGCCACCGTCACCTTGTGCAAACAGAAACGGGAAACCACCGTCCTGGGCACAGAACATTGCCGTGGTGGGGCGGTTTGAACCGGGCCTCAAGGTCCTTGTTTTGTTCTCGCCCGCTGCTGGCGGAGCGTGTTGTTGTGTGTCAGGCTTTCTGTACGAACGACAAAAACGGCAATTGTATCTGAGCAACAGCATCGTCCAGAAACCCTAATAGGCCGCAGTTGCAGGAGAACACAGCCACGGTGCACCTCAATTCGGACAGCTTGCCCGGCAAACTATACCGCTCAAAGGAAAATAATGCTGGCAGTCTCCTGGACTGCGACCAGCCCTCCACGCGAAAAATTCAAATTAGAATTTGGGTGCAAGATTGTTGATGTGCTCTTGTCCAAAGTGTATTCATCGGGCACTAGGCATCTAGACATAGATGGACCGGGCTCTCTCCCTGCTGCACAAAACCCTATGCCAATGAAGAAACCTTTTGCAGAACTTCAAGCGATCCCGCTCCACAACAAATGCTTGTACAGCAGGGTTGTACTGCAGTTACAATGGTACCAGGCCTGTGGCCAAAGCTGCTCGACACTACGCACCTTTTTTAGCGATACTCGACCTCGTTCACATGCATACACGACAGAAACGATATAGTATTCTATACACGTCGGCAAAATTGGGCCAAAGTCGCCTTGCAATCCAATTGGATTGATATGCGCTGACGAAGGCAGGCAGGATCGAGGGGTGGCGATCCCTGAGCGGGAATTGTACGCTCGAGTCCAAGGCAATGGTTTACAGCCGAGGCAAAAGGACAGCAGGCGTTCTGCCCTTTATATTCAGTCCGTTCATCAACTTCCTTAATGCAATTCCCAGTGGCTTTTCATAAACTTTTCATGCATTCAGTTATTAATAACGCTCAATCAGTTCTAGCTACAAGAGTGCCACAGAATGATTCATTGATCGACAGCCCGAGATGATGCACACGTTGGGGAAACCAACAAGCGCCCCGCAAAAGGAGCAAAGAAAATCCGGGGTTCGCGCAGGGCAGCACGCATCCGTATCCCGGGCATGTCACACCCCCTTGACTGTGCTGGAACTATTGAGTCATTGCATGTCGGCCTTGGAGCGCCAGCGATCGGCATGGGGGGCGCGGGTGCCGTGGCCGCGGCGGCTCTTCGGCAGGATCGAGAGCGTTGGCAGCGCGGGCGGGAGGCTCCGGACCCTCTTGACCGCAGTTGATGAGTTTTCTGCGCCCATGGGCGTCGAGGTCGAGAGGCGCGGAGTCTGCAGACAGGTGGGGGACACGGCGGAGGGCTTCTCCCCCCGCCCCCTTGAGCGTCGACCGTGGAACTCTGGACCAGGACGCGCCGTGCGAGTGGATCGGATGGCTCGGGCTCGTGCCAGATTGGCAACTGCACTTCCGCCGCAGTGCCAATCGGCCTCTTGAGCTGCTTCTGCCCCGCGAGGGGCGGTTTTCGCGTGTCCTGCTGCCAGCGGGGACGCTGGTGGCCCAGCGTTGCGTTGCCCTTCGCGAGATCGGCGTGGCTGTGTGAGGAAGGCGGTCGGCGCGATGCGAGGGCACCGGCGCGACAGGCACGGTGCCGCACAGGCGCCGCACGCGAAGGTCCCTCGCATGCGGTGCTGCCCCGCAAAGCCCCAGAGGGTGCGTCCCTCTGGGTGGAAAACTTTTCTCAAGTCGGGAGGTGCCGCTCTGGAAAGGGGGGACGGGGATGGGGCGGGTGGGAGGCCTTGCGCCTTGTTGCTCCTGTGGATCGGTGTCCACTTTCGGTGCAGTCGCAGACTACATTCACATTCACAGTCCACCCCGAGGTGGCCTTCCACCGATTTTGACATCAACCGGGGCTGGGGAGCTGTTTCCCAGGTTGCGCTGGGGGATGGAATGGGCACAGCATCACCGGCTTTGGCCAGACCGTGCCTGAGAGCAATGTGCCAACGCGCTGTTGCAGGCGTGAGCCGGAAGCCCGGGACTCGCGGACGGGGGCTGGCGGAAGGGGGGTCGGGCAGGCGGAGGGTGAGGGAAAGCGCGATGAAGCGGACGGCGAGAGACGCTTGACGACTCGCCCTGCCGCTGTATTCTGCTGTCTTTGTGCAATTCGCGCGTTTAATACCGCCACGACGTCGTGTCAAAAGTTGGGAATACCTTGTCCAGTATCAGTTGCGAACACGACAGCCCTGTGCAGTGGCTGGAACCTCTGTACATGGTGCTTGCCTTGCGTCGGAAGAATTCTGTGGGCAGGTGGCCATCTGAAACCCCTTTCTCAGTTGCAAGAGCTACTCTCGACTGGTCTACAGGCAGGGTGTCGCCCATCACAACAATTTCTTCCATAACCGTTGCAGAGCAACAACTACACTCGCAGACAGGGTTATGGGCACAGCAAGCACGTTTTGCCAGTCGCGCCAGAACAGCGACCGACTTCTGTGGGCGCTCCTGTTGCACAGTGCATTCGACAACTGGATTCTGGTACCCAGGTACTCCTGGCGTCAAGGTCGTGCCGCACAGGTCACCTCTCCCTATCCAAACTGCCGTGCACCTCGAGTCTGGACGCTTGCCCTCGGGGAGTCCCCATTCTCACTCTTACACAGGTTCTCCCCATTCGCTGCCTGGAACTCCACACTCACTGTCAAGCACACCACGCTCACTCTCAGGCACACAGTTTCCCCTCTCCAACAGCCTGAGGGAGAAGTATTCCAACTCCCACCGTTGGCAAACACACCGGTGGAGGGACAAACTGGGCAGACCCCCTGGCGCCGCGAGCCCCAACACGGCGCTTGACCCACAGAAGCAAAAGCACGTTGCAGGGACTAGGTTAACCAGGAAGGCTAAGGGTCCAAAGGGGAGGCACCCCAGCGAATTTATGCGGGAGGGCCCACGTGCTGCATCTGTGGACGGCAGTGTCCACCAAGGCCAGAAACCCGCTGTGCGTTCTGAGGCCGGCAGGGAGGTACCAGTTGACAAGCGCTCCCAGCAGCCAAGTTGCTCAAAGGCAGAGGAGGGTTGGCGTGTGGGTGCTGGCGTGCATGGCATGGAACAGGCGGTGCCAACTATCACAGGCATGGTGTCCACTCTGTTTGGTGACCACACGCGGGGAGATGTGGAGGGCTGGTTGGACAGTGGCCTGAGTGAATCTTCCAGTACCTGTGGACCCGAGCAGAGATTCAGTGCCCTGCAGGTGGCACTCAGGCCACAGATGGTCTCACAGGCAACCTCGGACTCATCAGCGGGCAGTGAGGAGTCCACTGCTATCACCCCTGATGGTGAACTGTTGTCCACTGCAGGTGGGTGTGTGGCAGTGGTGCCACTGGTGTTACTGATGCCCTTTCTGCCCAGCAACCACCTATCATACGCCACTGAGAAATCGGCAGATGGTTATGTCTGTGGGGGTGCCAAGTCTGTGGGGTGGCATCTTTGGCTGCCAGTGGGTGGCGTCTTTGGTTGCCAGGTAACACTGCAGTTGGGAGTGCATGTCTAGGTGGAATGGACATTGCAGCCAGCGTGGTTGGCCAACAACAGCAGCTCTTTGCATGTCGGCAGAAGTGCGAAGCAAGCGAATGCCAACTTTGGTCTACTTGCCCCATGGTGGTCCTCAACATAGTATATAGGCAGTGCTTTTGGGTGCATTGCTGTACCGCCTTGGCCGTGATGGCAGCACACACATGTGAGGGAGCGCACCATGGAATGGATGAGCAGATGCAGCAGTTTGAAAACATGCCACCCCATCCTGCAAATGTTGATCAATGGCCCAGACTCGGTTGCTGGCTTTTCTGTCCATTCTGCAGAACATATTAGTACATCCTTGCTTCTCATAACGCCTGCTTGGCTGGTTTCTCACCTCTCAATGAACCCAATGTCTATGTTGGCTTTGCCGGTGCTCCCAACTCTACCTGCCAGCTCCTTGATCTTTTGACAATGTGGGGAATCTGCAGACAGGGATCCTACGACTGCTGTCGCGGCTTTGCCAGAGTTTGAGAGAGTAGACCAGTTTGGGTTTGTCAGAAGGAATGACGGGGCTTCAGGCAGCCCGTCCTTGGGCCACAATGGTGCCCGAGAAGCAAACAGGCTGAAGAAATGGAGGCGGATGGTTGGGGCCGGTGGGGTGGACTGGAAGGTTTACCTGGAGAAGCACCCAAAGAAAGTGAAGAAACGGATAAGGAAAGGGATCCCAGATGCCCTGAGGGGGCTCACCTGGCAGTTGCTGTCAGGTGTGGATCACTTTGGACTAAAGTTGTGAAAACATGACAGAATGTGCCCTTGCTCTTCTTGTGGCATATTTTGTTGATTGTATTATGGCATATTTTGTTGGTTCTATTATGTGCATTCCTAATCCGTTCTGTGGCCCTCTCACAACTGGTCAACACAGAGCACTGGTGGCTGGCAGGCGATACTCAGGAACGTGTGAGCTACATGTTGTTTGCTTGGGCTGATGTAACCAGAGGAGTGCTACCATTTGCAGGCAACTGCCAATGGGTGGGGCGATCTGGACCTGCCTGCACTGCATGGACTGTTTTTGATGAGTGCTAGGCTTGTCGTGGAGAACCACAAAGCTACACGTGCTTAGCGCATCCAGGTTTTTGGATCAGCGATGCTTTGTTGCCCAGTTGTAGTAGAGGTGCACCACAGGTCTTGAGATTCAATGATTGGTAATGAGCACAGTGGAGTGGTTGCTCAGACAGGCACTGTGTCTTTGTGCTGTTGTGGCTGAGTAAGTGCCTGGAAGTGCTGGGCGATGCCAAGGAGTGCAATTCATGCCAGTCCAGCATGGATTTGTTTTCTTTTTGTTTTTGCATTTTGTTGTGTTGTCTTCACTCTCATGTTCCTGGCTTCCTCATAACTTGCAGATGGTAGAGGAACACTGACCACGGACGAGTGGGTGTGTGACGCTGCAGGCGGCAGGAGCCTGCTGTTGGCCAACGAGGGTGTCTACCACCAGCTTATGTTGTATGAATCCAGTATGGAACAGATTGAGCTGGAGATTGTCAGGGATTTGAACCGCACATACCCTGGGCACGTGTATTTTCAGCAGAGGCAGGGCCCTGGTCAGAGGTCATTGTTCAATGTGCTGAAGGCATACTCTGTGTATGACAAGAAGGTGAGGGCACTCTTGTGGCAAACATCATCTCCAATATTTCCTAGGTTTCATGTCAACAAATCTGGCTGGCGACACTTTTGGACTGACTGGACATGAACTCGAACAAACATTGTGGGATTAAATGAACAAGTGCACTTGGGACCAACTGCTCAACATCGCCTATTTGGTGCAGCAAGTACATTGAACTGTCACTTAGTTGCTCTGATCTTTATTTGCGCCAGTATGTGTCACAGTCAGCTCAGAATTAGATATGTGCCCCGTAAATGGTTTGGTACCTTGAAATGCATACTAACAAGGGCAATGTGCTCTCTGGCTTCGCATTGCGTTGATTTCGCATTGCGGTGGTAATGAACTCGCCCAAAATGTTGCCGCTGGGCGAATGACTGGACCAAGGGTGTTGTAACTGCTGAAGTCTTACATAATGCTGCTCAGCCACCAGTGTCCAGAAAGGGAGGACAGACATCTGGAGTGAAAGTGGAACACCCATTGATGCCTGGTGGTTGACAATGGGTGGATGCAGGTTGGATATGTGCAGGGAATGGGATTCATTGCGGGTCTGTTGCTTCTCTACATGTGTGAAGAAGATGCGTTCTGGACCCTGGTGGCCCTCCTCAAGGGCCAAGTGCACCCACCTATGGAGGGCCTGTACACAGATGGCTTCCCATTGCTGCAGCAGTACTTCTATCAATTCGAGCACACCATTAAGAAGGTAATGATTGCTGCGCTGCCACAGCAGGGCAATGGGTACCCAGCTCTGCAGTCCTGCATTGTGAAGAGATGTTGAGAGCTGCCCACAGAAAGTTTTAATGCCCGTGTTCGATTGGTCCATCCTGGACCATCCTGTGACCGAAGAAAACTTGCTGCATGTCAAGTCAGCTGTGGTATTTTGCTGATACGCATCCAGGCAGCATGCAGAAACCGGTGTGCACAATGGCAAATTCGCCTGTCACTGAATAGGGGGCTCCATCTTATCCAGTTTTGCTAGCTGTTGAGTCATGAACTGTAGCTTGCAGTGGATAAATGTATCTCAGCCAAACCCCACAGTTCCGCAAGCATGGCAGTGTGTGGAAAGCTTGGAATTGCTTGTCTGCCCACAGGAGTGCCCACGGCTGGCCAGCCACTTTGATCACGAAAATGTGTTGCCCATCATGTTCTGCTCCCACTGGTTCAACACGGTGTTTGCGTACTCCCTGCCTTTTGAGCACCTCCTCCGTGTGTGGGATGTCTTCCTATTCGAGGGCTGGAAGACAGTCTTCAGGGTGGGGCTGCTGCTGCTCAAGTCGGCTGAGGAACAGCTCCTGGCGAAGCCGTTTGAAGGCATAATGGCCACCTTGAATTCCAACTCCAAGCAGCTTGCAGCAGCACAGTTCCCCATCCTTGGCAGATCCCCAGATACATTCATCAAGGTGCACACCATGTTGTTGCCATGATTGCTCGTTGATTGTGCTCAAAGACCGAACAAGCTGTTGCCCTGTTTGTCGATGCTAGAGCTGTTCGCAAGTGCATTCGTGTTCCTCGATAGGTTACCATTCTCATTCACTGTCAGGCTTGGTCAGTATCTGCGACATTGTGCTGCAGCTTCACGCATTGGCTGTTGCTTCTGTATGCACGCCTAGCTGCATACTTTCTGAATTGGGGATTTTGTGCTGGCAAGGTTTAGGCCCTGTGGTGCAAGGGTGAAGGGGTTCATGGTGGGGTGAGCCCCTGCCTTCCGCCAGCTGACTGAAACATCTGAAACCTTCCTGATGTTACCTCTGATAGGTCGCCTTGGGATGCATCGCAGCGTGGCATGGTCAATCTTCGTTTTGGATGACAATGGAATGGAAAATGCTTTTTGCAACATCTTGGGGGAAGGGACAGCATGGACAAGAATCACGTGCTTTCGCATTTGACATACAGTGGTAGTTCATTTTCTGTAGGTGCACCATAACGCTGTCAGAATGACCTTTGATCGTGCCTGGTGAGTGGCTGCACCTTGTGCCCAATGTTAATTCATCCTTTTGCTATTGTTGCAGGCTTGTTTGAGCATCAAGGTCTCCAAGAATCTTGAGGCTTGCAGAGCCGAATACGTTCAGATGCAACAGCAGCAGCAGCAGCAGCAGCAACAATCACCGCAGCAGCAACAATCACCGCAGCAGCAACAACCACCGCAGCAGCAACGGGAGGAGGAGCAGCAAAGGTAGCAGGAGAGTTTGGGATTCCTTGCGCAGTTCTCAGGGTTGCAGAAAGTAGAGGGGACGTTGCAGGGACAAGGGTTGCGCCTCCGAGGCTGATGGAGTGCTTGTAATTTCAATTTTGATTTAGACTGCCTTGCCAGTCCGCCCTGCGCTTGGATAACAGTGCTGGTTGGCTTGGGCCGCAATTGCCTAGACTACGCCCACGCGAAACCCCCAACAGCGCAACAGTTAAGACGACTTCCACATTGCCCAGCCAGGGCCCAGTCATCCAAACAGCACAATTGTGGGGCACCACGAGGTCGTTGTTCACACCCCTGGAATTCGAAGATGTCGCCTGAGCGGGAATGGGCGCGCATGTGTGCCTTGGATGTGATTTTTTCTGATCGGTCGAGGACAGCGATGCATTGCTCTTCAACGTCAAGGTTTCGGTACAGCAGGTCAACACAATAAACGCGCAGAATCTCGAGATTGATGCATGCGCACAGCGAACAGCAATGCTGTCGGCGGACGATTTTGCATTTGCTACTAAAAGGCAGAGACTGTGAGTCTCCCCGCATGAGCTGGTCCAGTCACTGTGGGAAGACTGTCCAAGCAAACTCACGACTTCAATTGCATGCAGCTCCCCGCCAAGGTGGGATCCAATGTCATGTACTGCTGGACAAGCAAAAGGCCATTGCAAATTTGCACACTTCGTACGCGATCCAACGAGGTTTCCTGCTGCGGGTCCTTGTCCACGGATGCATGGCAGATCCGCAGAGGTGCCGCGCAGCACTCGTGTTTAGAAACTGAAAGCTGATGGTTTTGCATGCGAATCGCGGAGCGCCAGTGCATTTGGCACACTTGGGGCCTGCGCTGGGTCGCCATGGCCGCCACCGCATCGGCAAGCGTACGGGAATGGGCTCAATGCTTGAGTGCCGCTGCCCGCTGGACAACCGACTGCCAATGTATCCATTCTCGCCTCTTGCGTCAGACACAGTTCACCGCGCAAAGAGCAGTGATAGCATGACTGCTCTTTGCCTGGTAGGAAGTCTCATCTTGCAAGCTTGCCCGTGGTCGGCTGGTGATGTCAAGCCATCGATGGTCAATAAAGCGTCACATGTCCGGCCAAGACGGCACAGCCACCTGATACGTATTTCAGCCAAGCAATTTTGCATCAACAAATGGCGCAATGCTGCTCTAAGGCCTTCAGTAAATTAGGCTATCGAAGTCCTGACTTTGGTATGTTGTCAATGCTGTCTGCAATTGTCCCATTGCCGAAGATTCGGCATGAACTGTGGTGGAGTGCAGCTGCATTATGAATTCCGCTGGTCCACGGTTGTCTCAACAGCGGCAGTCCTCAGTGGCCATTTAAGACTAACAACGCCTTGGAGACCCAGGGCAGAATATGTTCCGTGTTGCCTCCTCCTCCTCCTCCTCCTCCTCATCATCATTTTCGCAGAACAAGGGAAAGAGGTAGCCGTCAGCTTCATATTTTGCCCGAGCAAAGCAGAGTCTGTGATCAGTCTCTTTAAATCTAATGTTAAACACAAACAACATCCATGAGTCTATTGAATCCTCATGTTTAGAAGGGAATGTCGATGATAATACATGAAGATAAGTTGTTTCAGTGGGACTTTGTTGCTTCAGTGGGACTGAATGCAAGAGGTGATGATGATGAATGCAAGTGCTGGCACACAAAACAGTTTGTTGATGTGGGCTCCCACAAATGTGTATGGTCCTGTGACAGCACAGACCCCGGTTGGTCAATTTGGTTGGCTGTGGTCAACCAGTTGACTCGGGTCAACGAAGTGGAAGGTGATTCGAAGGACGCAGGGGGAAGCCCGGCTCAACGGTCACGGCTCTGGGAATGGAGCGCTGCCGCTGTGTTTCCATTAGAAGCCAGCTCCATACCGCGGCAGATGCTGTGAATCGCTGCGCGCCCGCAGACTTGGTTCATGGCCTGAGGATGTCGTCAGCTTCGCGCCGCTGACTGGAGTCAACGGGGGGTGAGTCCGCCGCGGCCCACGTGTGAGGGAGGCAACAGCGGCCAGAGAGTAGTCCGCGCGATGCAGGGCGCAGACAGTAGCGGCGGGCAGTGAGGAACCCACAGCAGGTCGACGTGGGGAACAGTCCCCGCCGTCTTCCTCTTGATAGCGAGTGAATGTTGACTCAATCGACAAGTCTGCGCACCCCAGTCAGGCCTGGCACGGCCCAGGCCATCGGTGATATCGATGCTTCCATTTCTCGCTTGCTCCTAGTGCTGCTTGCCTGGAGACGTGTGTTCGTGCTTTGTACGCTCAGGCTTCAGAAGTTCCATTCCCCGTGGGGGCCTATTGGCTTTCCTGGACGCCTCAAAGGAGCCTGAATTGTGCGAGGCGTCGTGCACATTTTGAATGCATCAATTTTAAGGCTTCCAGGAGCTGTACAAGATGACCTCTTCCCTTGTGGCATGGCCTTCGTCATTGCTCCTTGAATCGATGTGTAGCGACGCGGGGACGCAAAGTTTTGGCAGGAGCTGCTTACAGCAAAATGCCATTTTTGAAAAGGAGTAGTGGCCCGATTGCGGTCCCCTCACCCTTGATACTCATAGCTTTTTCTTGATAATGATGATGGATGCCAGCTTCCCAAGCTTACGCACTGCTCATTGACGGAAGCTGCACTGGACGGCAGAGAAACGCCATCAAGGATTCTTGCTTATCAAGGCGATGAGGCAGCCATCAGCGCCCCATTTCGCCCGAGCAAAGCAGTTTCCATGAATTGCTTCATGACACCCAATGGCATTGCCACAATCCAAGCACTGAGTTGCTGTCCGTCAGAATGCGCAGACGTCACAAACTCAGAAGCACAGAAGCGCTCGCCCTCTTCGCAAAACGTCCCCAGCCACTCGGAGAGCTGACGTCTCTTTCATGCTATGGTGGCTGAGAAGGCTCCAGGCCAATCGCCAATCTCGCCACCATTGGCGAGCCACGCCACCTTCCCAGAGCTTTCGCCCCCCGCCCCCCTAGATCAGCGACTACCACCTCCCCTTCCCCCCAGCCGCCGCCATGTCCGCCGTCGTCGATTCCGCCGAGCCCCTGCCCGACCGCGTGAAGGCCCGCCTGCAGGGCCACTGCAAGTTCGTCGCCCAGCTGCCGCCTGCCCTGCAGCAGAAACTCATTCCTCACCTGAGCTACGCCGTCGCCAAGCCCGGCGCCGAAATCACGCGGCAGGAGGAGCGAGGAGACCACATGTTCGTCGTCTACTCCGGCGTCTGCTACGCCTTCGTGGCGGCGCTGTCGTCCGCGCCGTCGGGGTCCTACGAGAGGGTCGTCGGCTGCAGAGAAACTGCGGGCTCCAGCGGGGGGGATGAGCCGAATGGGGAAAACTGCGCGTCGGCCGCCAGCAGTCCTCGATGTCGCCAGGAGTCTTCGACATCCTCAGATGTGTCGATGTCTGAGGATGGTGGGGCGGATGGGGATAGGGTCGATAGAGCAGAGGCGGTCATGAAGAAGGTGGACACGATAGAGCCGGGGGAGTGCTTCGGCGACGGCGCCGTCCTGGGCATCGAGAAAAAGTACGGGTCCACGGTGCTGTCGACGGGGAACGTGGAGCTGCTGGTGGTGCACCGCGATGCTGTGCGTGCTGTGTTCGGGGCCGTGAGGGGGAGGAACGCGCCGTGGCTGTCGGAGGTCCACCGCCCGGCGCTGAAGAGGTCTGGGCCCCAGCTTCAGATTCTTGATTGATTGTTCTTGATTTTTTCTGTTTGCAATTTTTTTGGATATGTTTGGATTTTTTTTTTCGGTTTTGCTTGGAAGTGCGGGTGGAGCGCAGTCTTTCGTCGTCTTCGAATTTGGTGTGTGTGCTCCGCTGCGCGAGAGCAGAGCGCCAAGGTCATGCTTCCGCATTGCGGCATCCGCACATACAACTGCACTTGTAACAATCATGTGATGTGCATGCTCTCTTGCGTTGTACTTAGGAACGCATCACGCATTGCGCTGTGGCGAGCGTGCGTGAGTGCACGGAACTTCGATCGAGCGATTGTGGATTTGATACCAAACTGCCAAATCGGGGCATCATGATGTTTCAATTGAGCCGCATATCATGGCCTGCACGTGGAGAGAGGCATGGCAATGTCGCAGCACTGCTACGCCACACCAGTGCGATGCATAAGGACTTGAGATCGACGAAAATTATTGCCAACTCAGAATGCCGCACGAGAGGACCAAAGAAGACGTCAGCGTTCTGATGGAGCTTCTTGAAAACGTTCAGTTTTTCGCCATGTACGACAAGGCGGT